TACTTTGGGAGAGGAGGAGGAAGGTACAAGCTTTCCCAGTAGGAGGAAAGGTTTAGGTCCTGGGTCTATGGAGAGATCCAAAGCAGCAGACACTCAGGGTAAAATGGCCCCCAAAGGGAGTGGCACTAAAGGGAGGTGTGGTCTTGTTGGAGGAAGTGTGTCACTGTGGAGGCAGACATTAAGGTCTCATCTATGTTCAAGCCATGCACAGTGAGACAGTTCATTTCCTGTTGCCTGAGAGATGTAGGGCTCTCAGCTACTTCTCCAGCACCATGTCTGCCTCCATGCCACCATGTCTCATGATGATAATGGACTAAACCTCTGAAAATGTAAGCTACCCCATTAAATGCTTTCCTTTGTAAGAGTTACCGTGGTCATGGTGTTTCTTCACAGCACTAGAAACCCCAACTAAGACAGAGAGAATTCCTAGGGTTTTGTTTGTTTGTTTGTTTGAGGAAGAAATAGACATTTAAGAAAAAAATCATCATATATATACATATATATTTATCCTATGTTTAGCAGTTTAATGGATTAATTGTCATTTTATTTAAGTATAAAATTATTGTTGTTTTTATCTAAGTTGTTTTACTTACCAATAAAGACTGGAGAGTCAGATGTTGGAGTGAAAACCTGCAAGATCAGAGAAGCCAGGAAGCAACCAGTTGACCTTCCTTTTCAGCCAAAGACTCAGCAAAAGAGCATCTCTCTACCTGTCCCAAATCAAAGAGGCCCACCAATCTCTAAGTCCCTCCCTACTCCTTCCTGTGCATCTCTCCATCAGTCCTCCTGCCTCCTCCATCCTCTCTATGGCTAATTCTTATCAACTAGTTGCTGGCTCTGCCCCCTGATCCAAGGTTAATTTCATTAACACAGTCTCAGAGTTTCATAGTGTGATCAAATATCCCACAACAAATTATCACTTTAAGTTCGAAAGCATTCTCTGGGCATCAAATCAAAGAAGCACTAGGGGTTGTTTATTCATATATATTTTCTTTAACTGAGAATTGAACCCAGTGCCTCATGCCTGCTAGGTAAGAGCTCTGCCACCAAGGTACATCCCTAACCCTTTTTATAGATTTATAAATTAAGTGGTTGTTTCTTGTTTTGTTTTTTTGCTTAAGTCAGGATATTACTATAAAGCACATGTTAACTTCAAACCTATGATACTCTCACCTCAACCCACTGAGTTCTGGGATTATAGGTTTATACCACCATGCCCAAGCTAGCTACAAATTAACTTTTTTCCTGAGTAAAAATTAAGCATACAAAATAAGGGTTTCATCATGATGTGTTTTTTTTTCTTTTTTAATTACAAACTGTTTGGTCTATGGCTCAGGCTTATTGCTAGCTAGTTCTTACATCTTAAATTAACCCATTTCTAATCATCTATATTTTGCCACGTGGCCATGGTATTATCGGTCTGCTGGCATCTTGATCCTTCAGCAGCTGGATGGCATCTGCTCTGACTCCAAGCATTTCCATGTATCTCTGCTTGGATTTCCTGCCTGGCTCTTATCCTGCCTTGCCATAGGCCAGAGCAGCTTTATTTGTTAACCAATAGGAGCAACACATATTCACAGCATACAGAAAGACCATCCCATAGCATTTTCCCTTTTCTGTCTAATCAAAAAGGAAGGTTTTTATTTTAACATAGCAAAATAATATCTAACAAAATAGTTATCAAGTGAGAATTATAGTTATAATGTCTACCTGTATTTGACAAAATTAAAGAAAATATTTTATCATCTATCCTATTTTTGTGTTTAAAGTTTTATATTTAATTTATTTTTATCATAACTAAGTAAAACTATAATTACAACTATCTAATCTTTAATTGCATCAAAGACCCCAGAAGGATACAATATTATCTGAGTAAACAGAGAGTGCATCGTAAGCAACTTCTAAAATTCTAGAAATGACAAGAGATATCTGGTTGCTTGGACAGTCATCCAAGAGCTGGGTAAACAAAGGTGGTATATCCCTATGTATATGTGATATGGCATGGCTAAATTGAAAAATATATACATTATTCTTAGAGAAGCAAAACTAACCCACCCTTCCCCCAGGGGCAATCAGGCCAGTGGTTGCCTGAGCAGGGAATAAAGACCAACTGCAAAGCCAAGCTGGCAGCTCTGGGGGGAGGTAGAAATGCTCTGGGCCATGCATGGGGGATGAGTTACAATGGATTTACCTATTTATCAAGAACAATCAAATTAGATAGCTAATTTGGGTACATTTGTTGTGTGTAAATTATACCTCAAAGCCGTTCTTTAAAAGGTGCAGCAGACAAAATCCAACTGCTTTAGGATTCCATCTCATATTGGGCACTGAAGCAAAGTAGCCGGGTTACTTGTTCCAGGTGACATAGGGGGTAAATGACAGATGCTGACATGAGCGGTTGGTTCTCTTTAACATCCACCTTCTCGGCTCCCCAGGGCAAAGGCTCCATCGCCTCCTAGGGCCAGGACAGAAAAGGGAGGTGTACGTGAGTGTACCAGCCCTGCTGCTGCGGGGTCTAAGAACAATGGACCCCACTTTCCTCCCAGGTGAAGTGACCCTGAGGATCAAAGGATAAGAAATGCTAAGAGACCTAACACTTCCCCATCACTCTGAGGAGAGGCTGATGCTGTTGCTATGGTTATCACCATGACTATGGGCTCGGCTATTGTTGCTCTGCTGCTGCTGCTACCGTTTGAGAATTATTTACAGTAAATGCCAGCGCCTTAAAACCACACACCAGCAGAACATTGTTGCAGGAATATCTAAACTGTGTGAAAATGTGCCATTATGATTGGTTTAATAAAGAACTGATTGGCCAATGTCTAGGTAGGAGAGACTAGGCGGGACTTCTAGGCAGAGAGAGGAACTCGGGATGAATCTAGGTGTGCCAGAGACACCAGCAAGATCCTGAAGAAGTCGGACATACGGTACAGAGGAGAGGTAACTGAGCCACGTGGCAGATGTAAATTAATAGAAGCAGGTCAATTGAAGTTATAAGAGCTAGTTGGGGGAAAGCCTAACCTGAGGCCAAGCTTTCATAATTAATAAGAAGTCCCCGTGTCGTTTTTTCTGAGCTGGCGGCCCAAAGCAAAGTCTGACTACAGAACATAGTAGCACCCACCGAGTATGATGTCACACTACAACCAGGAACGACAAGCTAGACAAGGCACCTGTGCACTTACAGCCTCTGCTCTAGGAGCAGAGGTAGGCAGCTGAGGGCTGCCGCTCTGCCCTGGCCACTCCCACTCACCCAGGCAGACAGGCTCCCCTGCTCTGGCTGCAGCACTCTGAAGAGGGGCCCACTTCTTAGCACCAACCCCGCTGAGGGAATTCCAGCCATCCTCCAGTCTGCTTTCTGCTTCCTGTCCCTAGGTCCTCAATGTACTGCTCAGAGCCTTCCGAAAGGAGGCCCAGGCAGCCATCCCTCTCTCCCAATGTCGACTGTCTTGTGGGAAGCTGACCAACCATGAGAAGAGCTGCAGACTCTCGTTCCCACACCTACCCACCTGGGCTCAGAGAGGAGGAAGTAGCCGTCAGCCACCCAACCCAGAGGTCGGGGAGCCCACGACAGGCTGCAGTTGTATGTGTGTTCTGTTGAGGGTTGGGGCAACCTCTCCAATCAGCACCCTGGGTAGGGAAGACAGGAGGACTGGGCCACCAGACCCGGTCCTGCCTCTCTCACACTAACTACAGGGGGGGGGGGCAGCATGCCACGGGTGTTCGCCAAACTCCCACTGACCGACTGAACACAAGCAGAGAGGACCGTGCAGCCTACGAGACCACCGGCTTAGACAGGGAGGCTCCAGTCAGGCAACGTCGTGCAGAATGTCCCAGTTGAGTGTCACTGACAGCAGGACTGAGTTGCTGTGGATGTCTAAAGGTCTCTGGGGGCTGTTATGTCATCATACCACCTTGCAGGCCAGCCCTTCCTCCTTATCTACTGATAGGAAAGGCTTCCTCTTCCTCCTGGTGGGGTGGTGAGAGGCAGCAGCTGCAGCGATTCTCATCACTTTCCTCTCTGGCCTGCACCCAGCCACACAGGTGCAGGGGAGCGGCAGCTTCTCACCTGCTGACTCACCCCTGTTCACTTGGGAACCCTAAGGTCATCTGGCCATTTCCCAAGCAGTGGCTTCCTCGGCTCCTTTACCCGTAGGCGCCATCACTTACCTTGGCACAAGACCAGATCCACTCTCCCTGAAAATGATTCTTTTGTTACTTTTCAATCCATATGCTTGCATTATTATCCTGAACCTCTCTTTAGTGAAAGCCCCCAATGAAGACAAGTTTCCTAAGAAATAGTAAAAATAAGTCATATAACCACGGGAATGGGCTTAGCTTAGTGGTTACCTTGCAGGCAAAAGACTCCGGGTTCAATCACCAGCACTGAAATTTTGATCAAAGATAGGACCATGGTCTAGAAATTCTTGGTAAAATGCCTAGCTGGAGCTGGGGAGACAGTTTAGCCTGTAGGTGCTGGTCACTAAATCTGCTGACATTTCCTCCTCCCATGTTGCCCAGGACTCACATGGTAGAAGGAAAGAACAGTCCTTCAAATTGTCTTCTGACCTCTACATGTGTACCAAGCCATGTGTGCAAGTGTACACATTATATATTATATATACACAACACAAAATAAATAAATAAAATGCAATTTAAAAATATATCTGAGCGATTTGCCTTCATGTATACATGGGCACTATATTTACACCTGGTGCCTGCACATAGCAGAAGAAGGTATCAGATCACTCATAAAATGAAAATAGTTCTCTTCTTAAAAAAAAAAAAAAAAGATAAAATCAACGCTCACACTGCATTTATCAGGCTTACTACTTACTCAGAAATAATTAAAATCACTGAACTGCAAAATGAAAACCAAATTAAAACTTAAGAGAAAGGTAAGTGCAAGCCCTGGCCATCCTACCATTGTGTGCATACGGAAATTTGCCCAGCCACCCCCCTGGTATACCATGTGCAGAATCTCTTTAGAGGGCTCTCTGTTGAACCACAAGAGCAGGGCTGCTCAGCTTAATATGTTGCTAGAGCTTTGTGAGACATTGTTCTACCTGTGGCTCAGAAGATATGCAAACAAAATTCAAATAAAAACCAACACTTCACACACATGCAAATCAGGGCAGAAAAGGGACTTCTGAAAGGACCCAAAATACCATCCTGTGAAAGGAGAAGATGAGGAATTGATGGCGGCGGAATCTTTTCACTCTATGCTCCAGTTTCCAAATCCCAACCGTCTTAAATCACTTCTAAAATAAAGGAATAGGGCCAATGAGGTGACTCAGCAGGTGCCTGCTGCCAAGCCTGGAGGTCCAAGTTCAATCCACAGGACCCACACAGTAAAAGGAGATAAGCAATTCCTGCAAGTTGTTCTCTGACCTGCACATGCTCAGTGTGACATGCACACATACACCACACTCCCCACCCCACCCCCACAGACAAAAATGAATAGATGCAATAAAACAATTTAATTTATATTTAAAGTTGGGGACAGGTGAACGCATTTAAGAGAAATCAATTTGGTAACGAAAGGGAAGCAGGCACTTCGTTACATGTTTTGCTTCCATGAATTTGTGTTAACGGAAGAGGCAGTCATGGTACAAGCAAAACACAGTTATTGCAAAATCAAAGAAAACCCACTTCTCAATACCCCTAGACGTCCTAGGCCAGTGTCACAACAGTTATGTGGTTATCGTGTGTCACAAATTAAAGTGACACAGCAAGACAAGACAGAAAAAACAAAACAAAACAAAAAACAACAACAACAAAACCCTACCTATTAACTAATAGCGGCCGCCAGAACAGCAGACTGGCTCACTGGCTCTGGCACAGGAAAAGATGCTCAAAAGTTGCTTTGGGACAGTGACCAGAGCCAGTAGGATGCCTCTGTGAAAAACCAAGTAAAGCAAAAGAAGCTTGGAAAGATGTGGGATGGCTGGAACTCTCAGCCCCTGCCAGTGGGAATTCAGAACAGCAAGGCCACTAAAGAGCACGGATGTACAAAGACCTCTGACCTAACAATTCATTCCTAATCAAGAAAAATGAAAATGTAAGTCTGCACAACAACCATTCACAGCAGCCAGGTTGACCTGAAATTGCCACCGGAAATTGAATGTATATTCAAATCGTGGTATATATGTATAACTGTTCAACAATAGAAAGACATGAAAACACTAACAAATCTAGGAAATTATAGTGAGCAAAAGAAGTCAGACACCAAAGACAATACAGCATATAATTCCATTTAATGAAGTTATAGAAAGGCCTAATTAAATTGTGGTGACAACTTTCTGTCTTGTTCTTTTTTTTTTTTTTTTTTTTTCAAGACTGGGTTTCTCCGTGTAGCCCTGGCTGCCCTGGAACCACTCGGAAGACCAGGCTGGCCACTTACTCAGAGATCTGCCAACTCTGCCTCCAGAGTGGTGGGATTAAAGATGCATGCCTGCCTACAGAGTGAGTTCCAGGACAGCCAAGGCTACACAGAGAAACCTTGTTTCTAAATAAATAAATAAATAAACTGTGGTGACGAAACTGGATCGTGTCTGCATGGGGATGGGTTTGGGGTGACTCTATTGGAGCGTTAGGTTTCACAAGTTGGGTGTTTGTTGAAACTGATTAAGCTGTATATAAACTCAAATGGATATTTTGTTACATGTAAATTATACCTCAACAAAATAATGAGGCATTTATTGTTGTTGTGGTTTGGTTTGGTTTGGATTCCGTTCTTTAAAACAGGTTTTAGTTCTCACCTCAAGTCCAGTTTGAACTCACGACATAGCCATGCTGGCCTCGCACTCACACTGATGAGACCGGGTCAGCATCGCCAATGCTAGACTTACAGGTACGAGACACCATGCCTAGCTTAAAATTGATTTTAAAAGAAAATATTACAGCTAAGTGTGACATTCATTAGAGCCTTCCCAAGTATATGCATAAATACTTATACACGTAAAAGGGGGTAACTGGGGTATCATGTTATGGTTTTCTTTGGGGTTCAAGAGAGCTTTGGGTGTGAAGGAAGTATAAAAGGGGGTTGGTTCTTTCTCTACGGATTCTAAGTTTTTGCATTTTAGATAAAAGAAGGTGAGGAAGAAGCTGGACCTTCAGTGATAAGGAAGAGTGCCAGGGGAGATGGCATTCAAGTCCGCGGTTTTTAATTCTAGAAGTCGGGGGAACCCACCTCCCATGGGAGCTGGAAAGGAGGCTCTTTGCTCCCTGCTGCTCCTTCTCACAGCACAGACGACGTGTCCAAAGACAAGGTTAGAAACGCCGACAGAAACACTTCGTCACATAGTTTGTGCTTTCGGTTTGTAAATGGAGAGTTGCGGCCCTTTTAGCACCAACTTCTCAGGAACCGGGGAGCTCTTGTCTGCTCCTCAGCCTTCACTCTGGCTTCTCCTCACCCAGCAGGCTCCACACACCCACCCAGTTTTCTACCCACCTAGCCAAAGATACAACTCAGCTTTCCGGCTCCACCATACATTTTTATGCATTATCAAATCCTCCATCTTATTCCCTAAAATATGAATCATCCCAAGATGATATCAGCCATCTTTTTATAGCCACAGATAGGACACATTTAAAAATATATGTTACACTTTTAGAATACTGACTAGCACATACAGGCACTATTTGTGGAAGCAATGGCTTGGCGTGGAGCTGGGACACAAATGCCACATTATTCTTATAACATCTATTTACCCCTGCCTGTATTTAGTTGGGTTTTGCATTGCTGAGTGTCTCAGCTGATTAACTCCGCACGGCAAACATGCATGAACTGTGGGCATGCGGCCACTAGGTGGCGGAGCTGACTTTCCAGTCAGATTGAGTCATGGCTCTGCCTGTCTGTGGTGGAAAGAAGAGAGAGCGGCAGGCTCTGATGGCCTGTGTCCTTGGCAAGGGAACTTTCTGAATGACAGCCCAGTAAACAGGGATCTGTTCGCTAACACCTGTAGAACATGACTATCTAACAATGATAAGAAAACCTTCACTGGAAACATTTTTAGAGAGATTTCCAACCCAGGATTCTGAATGCAGATACTGTTCAGCAAAGCAGTGGCTTATTAGTGCTAGGGAGCCTGGCTTTGCTTACCATCCTTAAACCAATCCAGCTGGTTGTGATGGCACAGGCCACTAGGATTTGCTTAAACCAATCCAACCAAAGAAACAGCTAGCGCAACTCTTAACTGCTGTATCAACACAAAATACCGACCTCTTTTGCCTCCAATTTGCTCATCTCTCTGTGGGCAGAAGACCATAGCCCAGGTCTGGGGCAAAGTGCAGGGTGGTACAGGCAGCACGCAGAATTTGAGGATTCCTGCATACATGCCCTCAACTTACCCACTACCCACTGAGCCAACACAGACCCACTTATTTTCTTCTGGCAGTTTCCGACTCTTACTCCCACTCCATCTCCAGCCCCCAAGACTGCTCCAGGAAACACTGGCTTGTGGACCCAAATGGAACCAAATAACAGTGTCAGAGTGCAGAGGAACAAAGGTTTCAGCAGCTGTCCTGACCCCTGTCCCCGCCCCTCTGCTTCTTGGTAAAATCAAGCTTCAGCAAGAATTCTGCTCAGCGGGCTATCAGCTCACCTGCCGTCTAATCAGGCTCCTCAGTCTGCATCACCACCCAGGTGAGGTGCAATGTCCCACCTTGCCATCAGTAAGAATCCTGGCAGGTGAGTGTACCCAGAACCTTCCTGACTCCCCATGTTTCCTGTGAGTCCTGTTCTATCCTCTGGCACCCGCCATGCTCTTCTGCTGTAAATTATTCCTTGTCCATGCAGTGTCCTGAGCCCAGCCCAGGTCTACACTGCATTCTCTTTCCCCCTGTCACAACGGTCCTAAATGAACCTGGTTTTACTGTTAATGACAACACTCTAGCTCTGGTTGTCCTTTGATGTAGGATAATTTTTATTCCATGGGCATGTCTTCTCAGAGAAACTTTTGTTTACTGTGACATTTCCTGACTTTAACCTGTACTTTTCACAACTATGGCTTTATGTAAAAGAGCTAGACCAGCCTTCCCAATACCATGAATGGGATGCTCACACAGGAGAGGGGAGACTTGAGGAGGGAGTCCTAGGGGAGCCCTGGTACCTGCCAGGCCTCCTGCTTCCGGCTGGGCTCTGGGATAGGAACACAGTCAAAACCCAGAGGCACTTAGACGTCTGCGGCTGCACTGGGAACCAGGGAAGCTACGAGCTGTAAAGAGATAGAAATGATGGACACCCTAGCAAGAGAGTGCTGAATTTTGTGTAAACACAGACACCCACAGCTTCCTGTGGTCCCAGAGGAATTCAGAGGGACATCTGAAAGTTTCCCTTATCCCACACCTCAACACAGAGGGACCCACAGGCCTGGAAGCTTGTGATTAGGGTGAGGACACATGCTGTCCTTTAGTGGGAGCCCCAGAGCTCAGGACTAATGATCCAAGGTCACATAACAGCATTCTCCAAAACCACCACAGACCAGCACCCTTCCACAAAACAGCTCTGTGCTATACAGACCCCCTCATACAAAGCTGGGTTGAGTTTCTGCCACAGCAGCAGAGGAGAACGTCACCTGAGATTAGGTAAATTATATAAAAATGAAGAAAATTCTACTTCTTTTTCTTAAGACTTACTTTTTATTTATGTTTCCGGGGATGGGAGGTAGTGATGTATATGTGAATGCAGTATCCTCAGAGGCCAGAAGAGGGTGTCAGATCCTCTAGATCTGGAGTCACAGGTTTGAGAACCTCCTGAGGCATGTGGTAGGGGCTGAACCTGGGATATCTGGAGGAGAGCTTAACTGCTGACCTGTCTCTCCAGGCTCTTCATGAGGGGAGGAGAGAAATGGCTCCCAAAGACTGTCCTCTGGCACATACATAGAATACACACATGTGTACATACATGCTAAAATGTATTGTATGTGTTTTGATAGTTGAAACTTCTATCTTAGCCAGAGCAAATAAGCAAAAGAGAACCAGGGCCTTTATTTTTGTATGGGTAAACATCTGGGGACCTGAACTATGTCATGAATGACTTCCAGCTGTTCACACTGGTAGTTCATGTGGGCCACTCCAGGAAGGCAGGTACTTCCTGAGTTATGATTTCTGGTGTCCAGAACGTTCCCATTGCTACATAAATTAGGAAGCAAAATGTAAACATGCCTGGACCCCAATAAAACATTGACAACAAAGCCTCTAACCCAAGACCCGCACACCAGCAGAGGCAGACAGCCCAGCGCAAATGTCTCTCTAGGGACGAAACAGGAGCAACAGGTGCTGGCTTCATGTTGGACAGAAAACCTGGTGCTGGTCCTTGACGCTCCTTTCGCCTAAGCATAGCCCTTCCTAGAGTCCCAGCACCCCTGGTCCATGTCTGTGACCCCACTTCCATCTTTTTTACAGTTCTTGGAAATGCCACTGGCGGTCATTAAGTGGTCTGTGTTTGACAAGTCCTGGTGTGAGGTGAGTGTTGGCAAGAACTCTCCCCTCAATAGGTCACAAGCTCCCCAAACAAGCAGTATCCCTCCACCCCCTTTCCCATATCTCCCCAAGGTAACTATGGTGGCAGGGATGGAGAGGTCTAGGGAGACATGGATGCCCCTCCTTTCGGCTACCAGACCATTGAAACAATGGTCTCTAAGAAATTGGGTTCCCCAAGCCTCTCACGCTGGGAAAGAGGAAAGGCTGAGTCCAGCCAGCAAGGGAGTTTGTCTTCCTGGAAGAGGTTTCACAGTTCTGAGAATGTATCAAACCACCTTGCTGGAAAGCCTGGGGCCTAGTCCACGGTGATGAGCCCAGTACCTCCTTGACTGGGGGACTGCTCAGCTGAGGCATCTCTTGCCCTCTATTTAAACCTAAAACTCATGCCAGGACCTTGTGCCCCTCTCCCCAATCTGGCCACATTGAAGAAGTCTCCCCTCTTCTCCTTTCCACTATTACGTTTTTAAATTGACTTGTTGAGGATGGGTATCTTAGCTTGGTGGTGCCGCCAGAGCCCAGGTTCCAAACCTTCAACTCCAGTAACAGCACCAACAGCACCCAGCCCACCGGAGCAGTGAGCCCAGACTGATAATGGAGAACTCCATCTGCAGAGACTGGAGGGCTCTACCCTCCCCTGTGGGGAGGAGTCCCAGCTCTGACATCTGCCCACAGGCAAGTCCTTCTTGCCTCTTGGGTCCCATTTGTATAACTAAATGCGATGAGCCCCGGGGTCCTGCTGCTTAGGGAAGGATCTTCCGAGATCACCCAGAAGTGATAGAGCAAGGATGAAGCGCTTGAGTCATGAGTCACGCCTGAGGGCATTTCTTTGGCCACACAGGCTGTTGGTGCCACTTTAGCAGAGCTCCTTTCCTGTCCTACCACTGCATATCTAGCTTGGAGAGCAACACACAAACAGGACCGGAAGTCTAATGACATGAAGCCCTCTCCTAGCCACAGGAAATGCCACTGGGATGACAAGAGCTGTGTTTCCATTGGCTTTCTCAACCGGCCATAATCTCTCAAGGTCTGAGGCCTCCCCTCCTTTAAGGCAGAGAAAAGGTGCGGGGGAGACACTTCATTAGCTAGAAAGCATCCCCTGGGACAAGAGACCCATGCTTGGAGTAGCAGGTGCTAATCAGCACGTCTCAGAGGCACAGTCACAAGATGGGTGGGACCCTCAAAAGCCTCTATGTGTGTATATGAAGAAGACCTCATCTTCCCACATAACAGAGCTAAGTCAGCCTCAACATGGTCCTCGCTCGCGGTAGAAGGGGAAGTGAGCAGCCACCTGCCCTGTGGGTTTATGTGCTTGCGTTTCTGGGAAAGTTTACGGCTCACTTCTGACAGACTTCCTTGATTGGCTTACTTTCACCTAGAAACCTCAGACCCAGCTTCAGAGAAGATCCAGACACTCCATGGGACACAGTAAACCAGATGGCTTGGGGGTTCTTTCAACTCAATACTTTGAATCTCTGGTGATCTGGTTCGTGGACAGTTCCGGATGGACAGTTCTCTTACCTGACCTGACAGAGTCCTGTTTAATCATACAGCTGCCTGCCTGGCTTTCCTTCAGCCCTGGTTTCATCCCAGCAGGACTCCCGCTTGTCTGTCCCAACTGAGTGACAGGTACAGTGTGCTCACACCTGCCCAGTCACCTGTGGCTGTGGGCTCAGAAATGAGCCAAGGAAGCTGAATGTTCAGTGGGTCACCAGCAGCCCACACATTTGCTAATCCCATAATTCTCCACCACTGCTGCCCCCCAACATTGCCGTCACCTGTACCTTTCCTGCTGAGTCCTCCTCATGAGGTTTCCTACACGCTCTAGCTTCCTGGCCTGTGGCTTCTGCCATTGTTTTCTTTTCTCGAGGATAACTTAATGGCACGTCCCATCCAGTGCAGCCCAGAGCCACCCAGCGTTGTTGTGGGAATGAGGGATGAGTGAACCGATTCTTAGATGCTCTCAGGAATCTACCCCAATATTGACCAATATAGTACTTACTGGTTAACACATCCCCCCCCCTCCCAGAATCTGAATCAAGAAAGAATCCTGTTTCCCTTAAAGGGTCTTCCAGAAGCCTAGGACAGTACCCGAGTTTTCCTGTAATCCCATGCCGACACTCTTCCACACTGACCCAGCCGCCAGAGTTCCCTGAGCACACACAGAACAAAAGCACCCAGCAGCCAGAGAGTGCCACAGGAAACCTTCCCCTTACACGTGCCTTTCTCACTGAGATGTCAGACCCAACAGCTTCAGAAGCGTTTTTCTGAGATTGCCTCTAGTGACTTTCTGTGGTGGTATTGTGTTCCCCAAAATATTGTGCACCCTAATAAACTTATCTGGGGTCAGAGAACAGACAGCCACTAGATACAAAGGCTAGAAAATGGTGGCACTCACACCTTTAATCCTAGCATTCCAGAGACAGAAATCCCTCTGGATCTCTGTGAGTTCAAGGCCACATTGGAAATAGCCAAGCATGGTGACACACGCCTTTAATCCCAGAAAGCCAGCCTTTAATCCTAGGGAGTGGTGGTAGAAAGCAGAAAGGTATATAAGGCGTGAGGACCAGAAACTAGAAGATTTTGGCTGGTTAAGAATTTGGCTGGTTGAGCATTCAGGCTGTTGAGCAGTAATTCAGCTGAGACCCATTCCGGATGAGGACTCAGAGGCCTCCAGTCTGAGGAGACAAGACCAGCTGAGGATCCGGCAAGGTGAGATAGCTGTGGCTAGTTCTGTCTCTCTGACCTTTCAGTATTCACCCCAATAACTGGCCTCGGGTTTGATTTTATTAATAAGAACTTTTAAGATTCCTACAACAACTTTCTTTTATCCCATAGCTTATGTCATTTTTAAAGAAATAAAATGTCCTAGGGTTTCTGGATTACTCCTCCAATTTATACCACCTCAGATTTTGGTACAAAACCCCAAACAACTGCTGATGGGTGACACAAAATTCCTTTTCCGGATATATTGTTACTTATTTATAAATCAAGTACCTCATGGTGTCTACAGCCAAGTTGAGCCCAGGGGCATTTTCTTAATCAGCCAACACACATTTAGCTCTCCTTTGTGGGAATACTGAGGAAATACAGAACACAAAGTCCTGTTCGCTCCTGAAATGAAAAGGCACACACTTCTTTTTAGGAGGCTCATTCAAAGAATGTGGCCTGTTCCAATTCTTAAAGTGGGCCAAACCAGGGCAGTGGAGAGAGAAAGTGCTGTGCATACACTCAGAGAGGCAGATGTACTTCCGGCATGGAAGGGCCCTAGACACATCAATTAGATAGAATCTTGCCCATTAGCAGTGATTGTCTTTTGTGTCCTAGTTTAACTGCATGGAAACACATTCACCAGATGTGTTCATAGCTTGATCAAAACGTGCATCACAATGAGTATTATAAATATACTCAATTTTATTTATCAATATAGTGTCACACCCTTCAAAGTGATAAATTCTTAGATTTAGAAGCAGCCTTCTTGCTACCACATGGAGGGCTGCTGGCCATTCCTGTTATCACTACCCATCACCTGGAGGATTTCTGGCCATTCCTCAGTATCATGAAGGACCGCTGTGGGAATAGAGATGGTGAGTGAAATAAGATTCTTAGTCTTCTTTGGCTATAGTTACACCCAATATTCCAAGATTTCTGCTAGGTCTCTGTAGCAAGTCTTTCTCTGTCCCACCAGCCAGCTCTCAAATACAGACACGGAGACACTATTAATTATTAAATCTCAGCCTACAGCTGAGGCTTGTTTCTAACTAGCTCTTATGACTTAAATTAGTCCATTTCTACTAATACATGCTGCCACGTGGCTCGTGGATTTTACCTCTCCCCCTGCCTGTCCTGCCTCCTCTCCATCTTCTCTGGCATCTCTCTCATGCCTAGATTCATCTCCTCTTCTTTTCCCTCTGCCCAGAAGTTCTGCCTAACCTCTTCCTATCTAGCTATTGGCCATTCAACTCTTTATTAAACCAATCATAAGGCACCTTGGCAAAGACACATCTTCACAGTGTACAAAAAGATTATTCCACAACAGATCTCAGGAATCACGTTCTGGGACAGTGAAAATGTCATTTATTTTCTATAATTTTTCCCGTCGTGGAGAGCTTTGATCATTTCTGAAGCACCATCCCCAGAGCCTTGTTTCCATTCTCATATTCCAACTCCCATTATCATTGGAGAAGTTAGAAATCTTCAGAACTGGAATAACTCAATGGCTCAGCCTCCACCTTGTAGGCTGTTGGGAGAGAGGAAGATCCAGAAAAACACAAGAAAGTATGGATCAGAATATTGAATCGCCATAGTCCTGAGAGGTGGCTACCCATGATCACATGGCCCCTCATTTTAGATTTTCAGTGTGATTATAATTCCCAGCCAAGCACCGTGGCTTTCAATGCAATCTCTTTAGAATGCCTTGCTTCCGCTGCTCTAGGACCCAGAGGGTCTGAGTATGCAGAGATGACCTGGCACAGGTAACTTGGAATGGAATCTGTGGCAAGGTGAACACACGAGAAGGAGCTGCGATGGTACAACAGTGCAGAAGGTGAGTCGGAAGAACTTCCTCAGTAGCCATAGCAGGATCTCCCCACCCACGCTCCTTAATTAACCCTGCTCTTGTCGGTATTCCTACAATCATTAACCCTCAGTTTGGAAAAGTTAGCCTGGGTCTGAGTGGACCCCAATACCCATGTAGCTTACTTAGACCCTGTCCATTCTCATTCTATCCTCTCTTTGACCCTGACTGATCCAGGGCCAGACTGATCTCCGAGGGCACTGAGACATCTTCGTCAGCTCCATTCAGATCTGCCCTCTAGTGTTCTAAGAGGATAGCAGGCTTCCTGGTTGGCTGGTTGGTTGGTTGGTTGGTTGGTTGGTTGGTTGGTTGGTTGGTTGGTTGGTTTTAAAATAGAAAATTATATCTGGCTATTTTCATAGAAGACTGTTACCTCACTGGCAACAACAGTGTCTTCCATTAATCAGCAAGTGATGTCTTCAGTGGCGATGGTATCTGTCATGTGAGGGAGCCAGCTATGGGTTTTTATCTGATCAAAGGGTGTCATTTGCTGCTTTAGAGAAAAAGTCTCAGTTCCCCAGTGAGTGAACAGAGAGCTTTACGAGGGTGTGCTATTGAGTTCTGGGTGAGTACCACCTCAGGAAGGTTACAGCATCCAGAAGCCTTCACCGAGGGCCTCAGAGGAGCCTTCTACCTCAGCACAGGCAGCCAGGGGCCTGCAGAGCTGTGGCTCTAGCTCTGCTGAGGAGTTTGTCTTGTCTTGACTTGGCTCAGAGAGGACCTAGAGAAACTCCTCACTTTCTTCAGCCATCTCAAGAAAGGAACACATCTCTTCTTTTCCCCTGATGCCTGAACCAAATCCTGAGGTATGAGACCCAGCTATAGATCCAGAGTATAGGCCCAGGCCTGTGATCCTGGAAGATTGCCCCCATGGAGAAGTGCACCCCAAGAGCAGTATGCCTGAAGAGGAAGGTGCAATGAGGAACTTCCCCCGTGGAGGCCTGTGTCTGAGGAGAAAGGCTGTTCTGCCCTGGAAAACACAAGGAAGGCCAAGAAGAAGCAGGTGAAAGGTGCTGCCCTGGACTTTGACAGCACCTGGACAGATAAGCCAGGTCCCAGATTACTGCCTCTGACTGGTCACACACTCTGAGACAGAATCCACCGTGAGGCCAAACATGTTTAATCTCTATTTCCTGGATCTTTAGGAACACTAGAGTTAGTGAGCAGGCGGCCTCCCAGAGGTGCCTCCAGACATCCTTGTGATTGCCTGCAGTTCACACAAATTAGTCCACTTCGTCCCCACCACAGGCAGAGGCCTATGTTGTCATGGCTACCATATGATTTGGCAACTGGGGATGGGGAAACAATTTTCTGAGGTCACAAAGTGTCAACCGCTAAGCCTAGATTTGACCTCAGACCTTTGTTCTTGTGGTCTGAGCCCTAAATTAAACATGCAAAGCCTTGACTTCCAGCTCAAATCAGATGTGCACCTCTGTGACCACCGCAGACTTAATCAAAATGGCTTCTGGCACTGGCTTCTGTGGATTCCATTGGGTCACCAGCTCACTACAGTGACCATGGCAGCAGGAAAGTGAGGCAGCTGGTCACGGTGCATCTGCAGTCAGGAAGCAGAGCTGACCACTTTGTTTTTAATACGTTCCCAGGACTCCGCCAGTGAGAATAAATTACAATACTATTTACCAAGCACTTCCTACAAGTGAGACCCTGTATGAATATCTTAAGTATTTTGCCCCATTTATTCCTAATAATGTGTTCCACAAGACCAAGGTTTTCATGCTGACTTTGCAGAGAAAGACTCACTCTAACTATGGAGTGCCACATTCCAAGGGTACCATCCAGTCAAACCCGCTGCTCCTTGCTGATGTGCATCGTGCTGTCTATCAGTTACTGGCACAGTCACAACTTCACTTGCTGCCTCCTGCTCTCCTATAGCCTCACAGGCTTGCCAAATTCACACACTCAAACATTATTTGCTCTTGTGTTGCCCTCATCCTTCTCCAAAACGAACTAGCAAAGCTAATCCCCTGCCTATTTTTCTGGGGTGCTGAATAATCATCCGACTTCAGTGAGTCAACCCAGACATCTTAGAATTATCCTCAACTGCCTCAGCCTGCACAGCTTTGGGATTGACCTCACTGGGGAGACAGGGAGTGAAGAAAGCAACAGATGTGGATTTTAAAGAGCTGGGATTGGGTGGGCTGTGCTCTCTGATGGAATCGCTACAAAAGCCACGCAGAAGCTCGGGACATTTATTGTATGCAGCAAGAATGAGGAGGAGGCAGGTGAGCTAATCTTGGCAGAGGGTCGTTGTCAGGGAGAATTCTCAAGTTGGGGGGCAGTCTCAGGATAGGGGAGCAATCTCAGGATAAGGGGGCAGTCTCAGAATAAGGGGGCAGTCTCAGGATAGGGGAGCAGTCTCAGGATAGGGGGCAGTCTCAGGATGGGAGGCAGTCTCAGGATAAGGGGGCAGTCTCAGGATAGAGGAGGGTAGTCTCAGGAGAGGGGGCAGTCTCAGGATAGGGGAGCAGTCTCAGGATGGGGGGCAGTCTCAGGATGGGGGGCAGTCTCAGGATAGGGAGGCAGTTTCAGGATAGGGGGCAGTCTCAGGCTTCAGTCATCTGAAAGGAGAAAGCTACAGATGATCCTTTCTGCCTACACCATCAACATCCATGCTCGGACTGCTAGAAGGCCATTTTTCTGAGCCTGAGCCAGGGAAGATCTTGCTATTCTAGGTCTAGAGTACTGGGGTCCTCGACATAGCCATGCTCATGTCAGTACACATTCACTCAGAACTTCACCTGCTCCCCACACTCGGCTTTCCTTCCTTGGCCCCCTCCTCGCCCACATCCAATCAGTTACTGAATCCATTCTGAGTCTACATGAAAATACCTCCATTCCATCCTTGTAAATTCTTCCCACCTGCACTGCCTAGGGCAAGGCCTTGTGATTTCCCTCTGGACTATCTCACCGACTTTAGCCTTGGCAAATTTCAGCCCTTTCTCTGCCACTGTGAGGAGAAAAGGAACTGGTTGCGAGCGCAAATCTAACTGTGAAATCCAGATTGCCCAATACGCAATGTCCTTCCCAATCTGGCCACTTTCCAGTCATCATTTCTTGCAGAGACCTGGCCTGAAGTCCCCTTTTTTTTCTGACATTTTCCAAGCCTCCTTGTGTACCTTCCTTTAAGGTTTGGTATAAGCAGGAACATCTCATGGTTGTACCCCTAATGCACCCAAACCCAATTACCTGGCCTTCCTCTTGGTCCCTCACATGCACTGCCCTTATATTATGATTAGAATTCTATGATAGTTGTTACTTTTGTCTATCATTCCAGAAAACCTGTGAGCCTACTGAGACAAGAGACCACGTCTTACTCCACTTTACATTGCCAGTGTTCAAGTCAGTGCCCTTTATGTAGGAGGGGAAAAAAAAAATCACGCCTCTTCCAGAGGATCACTGGTCTTTAGTTCCCCACGCTGTAGATAAGCCAGGTTGTCTAGTTCAGCTCCATTCTAGAATCTAGCCTCCTCTCTCCCTTCTTTTTATGTCTGAGCTGCCAGTTAGGAAAGGGGTGGATGTCAGTCTTGCTCATCTCCAAATCTCGTCAATTGATCTCTCGGGGCCCCTGTCTTTCAGGTACTGTAAATGGGTTGGTGCTTCTCAGCAGCATTACACCACTCAACTTTCTTGAATAATTCAGACTATGTTTGCAACTAAATTAGATCTAGCTTTGAAATAAATCAAACCACCAATGGCAACAGCTCTCGGCCCTCAAATTATAGTACTTTCAGCCTGTTCAGTTCGTCTTATCTCAATTGATAAGTTTATATAGTTGGCCTTTATTTCAGTCTGTTCCTGTGAATTGGAGTCAGTTGGAAAAGTCTCCTGATAGATGGGCGATTGATTGATTGGTTGATTGATTGATTGATTGATTGTAACCAAAACTTTCATCCCAAGAATTCTCAAAACATATTACAAATGACAGTATGAAAAAGAAATCTGGCACAGTAACTCAAACGTTCAGCTCTACAATGTACCCATAAACTGATAGCTAACTTAAAGCCTTCTATTTCCAAATAAAGAATGTTACAAACAGTCATTCATCCATATATAGCAATGAGTGAATAACCTCTTTGCAAGCCTTCAGAATGCAGTTCCCACCCTTTACCTGTTGGCTTGTGTTCGCAGCAGCACTTAAAGACTGCTTATCATTTCCCCACAGCTCCACACCGTAGCCCAGCTACTAGAGAAACTACAGCCTTTTCCATTTCTGCCAGTGGTTTCTATATCATTAGCACATCACACTTTAACTGGGCAGGATCTAGGTTTATTTCAGTCTACGAAAAACTAAGTTCAAAACAAATTCAATCTTGCTTAAGGGGACATTGTAAAGTAGCAATTCTTGATATTACATGCCTCATCTGATCCATTTGGAACCACAGAGAATTACATCATTATGTGTGTCACCGTTCCAAGAGACAAAACAAATTTGAACAGCTAAAACACCTGAAAAATGTACTAAGCTTATGAAGTCTCAAGCAAAGCTTGAATTTCCTGTAGATACTCCTGTCGAATGAAGTTCTTTCCCGTACACCACTTCTTTTGCAAACTGGTCTACTTCCTTTCATTTGACCTAGATCGGCCACGAGACTGAGAGAAGGATTGAGAGGGCTTGTGGTTTCTGTCACAAGACAGAGACCTTTCTCTTCTCCTATCTCTAGAAAGTGACCTGCTCCGGCTTCAAGAGAAGTTTCTCCTTCTTGGAGATCTTTGCTGAGGTGGAGGACTCCCCCTATGGTAATCATCTCGAGGGCGACAACCCCAACAGGGAGGTGAGCCACGATTCCGACTTCTTTTTTCACCGTTCCACTCTTACACAGCAGCCACATAGTGTTCTTTCATCTAGCTCTTGGACAGCACCAGTGGCATTGCAAAGATCCTCAGATTCAATGAAAGCAAAGCCAGGAGGGTTTCGAGCAACCCACACACTTCGGAGTCGTCCATTAGTCAACAAAAGCCCGTTCTAATTCAGTCTTGTTCCAATTGTTTACAAGATTACCTACAGACACCTTACAATCTAATGGACAGGAATCACCATGCATTTAAAAAGGTTCAAAAAGCTGAAGCTCAAATCCCAACACTCCAACAGGCCCACCCACACCCTTCAGGATCTGCTTCTGCAAATGCTCTCCATTCCCTGGCATCCATGAAATTGTCTAGATGGGTGATTTCTAACAAAGCAAAACAATGACAGTTTTGTCCATCTTCTTATAAATGGCTAATTAATTACCTAATTTAGTGGTGGGGGGGACAAGCTGAGTTTATATCCTACTGTTGAGAACAAAAGGATAAGTATCTTCCTACATATAGATTTTACTATGACAATCCAGCACAGGCCTTAATTAACAAATGATCGTGAAATCAGTTGCCAGAAATAGCAACTCCAGAATAACTTTTCTAACACAACACCATCATTTATAAAGATATCCCAAACATTTGCTCTGCCAACAGCTAAACTACCTACTAAAATAAATATTAGTCAAAGAAATGCAAAACAAAATTCTTCAAAAACTGCATAACGAAAATTCCCCAAGTAGTGACCTCATTACCGAGAGTTTCCATCAACAAAGTCACCCACCCCAGTTACTTAAGTAGGAGGCAAATCTGCCTTTGAGTAAACAGCTAGAAATCCCCAACAATTGCTTCATGACATGCTCTATGTGACACCAACCACGTTCATAAATGATGCCCAAAACAGGTCTTGTTTTTCACAATCTCCTGACTTTTGCCAGGGCTTATGGAGAAGATTCCATATGACTCTGCTCCCTTTTTGATACAGTTCTTGAGTCCCTGGATACAATGGAAATAATATGATATCCCACAGGCTAATTCAACGTGGATTATACTCATTTAAATAACGTCCAATGTGAGTCAATAATCAATTTAGAGTACTCACTGTGCTGGGGGTAGCAAACAAGAAAAGAAGTGATCTAAATCTTCAGGAGCTCTCATGGTCTAGCAAAAAAGAAAGGTTGAGATGAAATGAGTTCAAGACAGGTGAGGAAAATAATATAGGGGGCTAGTGAGATGTCTCAGCAGGTGAAAGTGATTGCCACACAAGCCTGATGACCCAGGTTCAATCCCTGCAACCCATCTAAAGGAGAATGGAGAAAACCAACTCCACAAAGCTGCCCTCTGACTTCTGCACATGTAGCACATGCACACCTACAAACATATGTAATACTACTGCTAATGATGATGATGATGATGATGATGATGATGATGATAGATAAAATAAGTAGTCTAGGAAAATGGAGAGGATAACTGGACATTGCCTTTGAGTACACAAAGTCTTGAGATATGATTTAGTAGGAAAACATATACCAAGGAGGGCTCTGAGCTGAGAATGTAGGATTCATATGAAGATCAGTCAGTAGTACATGTATGTAGTAAAATATGGTGGGAGATAAATCTAGAAAGTAGAGAAAGGCATGGGGACTTTGAATTTCTTGCTCAGGTTTCATCTTGTATTATAGCAATTCTAGGCATCTGGTCAACCTTTGTAAACAGTCCATGTAAACCTGAAATTAGTACATATTCTATGGTCTTTGTATATATTAAACATATGTTCATTAAATCAAACTCATTTAGAGCATATTTAAATTTTAAAGTATTTTCCAGTTTGATCTATACCTAATTGAAATAAATAAGTTGAAATCTCTATATATGGAGTTGTGCTTGAAAGATTGCATTGTATCTTCTCAGTTTTGTCTTATTTACATCTATTTTATTAGGTACTTTAAATGCTTGTGTCTCTCTGGTAAATTAAGCTTTTCATCATTACATGCTCAATTACAACACTGCTTCCTATCTCACATCCCAGTCTAAGACTAGTAGAGCCACTATAGTAGTTATAGTTGTTGTTAGTGTTCATCTTTGTCTTTTAGTAGTGAGTTTAGTACGTTAATGATATTTCTGATCTTGTTTCTACCCTTTTCTTTCCCATTTTCTGTCTCTTTCTTTTTTCTATGCTGTTAATTTCTTTTCTAAGCATCTTCTTTTCATTTTATTTTATTGTTTCTGTGGTGATGCTGGGATGGAACTCAGGTCCTTGCACTTGCTAATTAAGTGCCCTACCTCAGGTCTCCACCTCTCAAGTGCTGGGACTGCAGGCATGTGACACCATACCTGTCTTACGTAGTGACGGATCCAGGACCTTCTGAATATCAGGCAGCACTCTGACAATTGAAGTACATATCCAGCTTTATTTTTTAGACTGCTTGCAATATATTCTTATTAGTATACTTATTCCATATTTTCCCTTGACTATTTCAGAAGTTATTCCCCTATTTCTATTCTTTTTATGGTTACATTGCACAGTTAATAGAATGAAAACAAACAAACAAACAAACAAAAACAGTATCCTTACTCCCCAAACAAAGATCCTACAAATTTAGCTTCCAAGTAACTTCTGAATATTTTTCATGCTTTGGTTCACTAATACTTTGGTTCTGAATTTCCTTAATTCTATCACATATTTATTAATGACGTCATTGCTATTACTATTATTATTATTCACTCATTTGTTCAGATAATAGGTTTTAAATTTATCTATAATCATAGCAGTTTCTTTGCCCATAATTGCTTTTTACACTTTAGACCTTCTTTACTAAATCATCTTCTTAAAACTCTTTTCAGGGGCTGGAGAGATGGCTCAGAGGTTAAGAGCACTAACTGCTCTTCCAGAGGTCCTGACTTCAATTCCCAGCAACTGCATGGTGGCTCACAACCATGTACAATGAGAATTAGTGCCCTCTTCTGGCCTAAAGGCATATACGTAGGTAGAACACTGTATACATAAATAAATGAGTAATTCTTAAACAAACAAACAAAAAACCACCTCTTTTCAGCAATCCACCATTCACTTTGGATGTAGGACAGAGAGAAATCAACTAGGACTGACAAGAAGCTCTCCCTCTGCTAGAAGAGGCTATGCAGGCTGCTGGGAGAGAAAAGACATCAGAGATCTTCCCCAGTGCTCCATCCTGCATGCCACAATTCCCATCAGCCAGTAAAGATTTACTCATTAGTGTAACAGTGGTGAGACCGTTTGTGAGATGACCACCTCACTCTTGATTGAATTTGAGGTCTGCTCCATGGGAGGGAATTTCATGGCTGCTACTGCACACATGTGACTAGTGAAGTCGCAGGTCCATGGAGTGAAAACTTGGTGCTACTTAGTTAGTCACATTGTCAAAAAGCCTTCCAAATACTTAGGTTTTCATGTGTAGATCTGTGTTGATCTCAACGTTGGGTAGAGAAGGTTCTTATTCCAGTGGGTAGTGACTAATAAAGAGATATGCTTTTTTAAATACTGAAACTAAGTAACTGTGAATGCTCAGCCGTAGATAGAACATCTGTATCAACCCATACACCCAAGACTGGGGGGGCATCATAGAAGACAGGCAGAAAGAACAGAAGAACAGGAGGACTGGGAAGAGCGCTGTGTAATGCTGTCCTCCGGCCATGACATGGGTGCTGCACACATGAACTCCTAACTGTGGTTATCATCACAAGATCAAGCCAGTTATAAACTCCAGCATGGAGGTGGGAAGGGCTACCCAGTCCCCATTCCCAGCTGAAGAGCTACTAATTCCTGTTAGTTACTGAGGGAGAGAGGCCCACTTTTCATTATGCTATGCCTAGAGGCAAGTTGCCCGTGTCCCATTGGATAATGCTACATGGGCATGTGTGTACATGGGCAGCATAAGACTGGAATCAATGGGTTTTTAAAAGAACCAAAAAGTGGACTTGAAAGTGGAAGGGAGATATATTGGGAACGGAAGGGCAGAGAATGGGAGGTGGGTATGATCAATATACATTGTGCACATCTATGAAATTTTCAAAAAAATGAAGGGGAAAACAATCAAGTAAAATAAGATTATTCCCTTCAGCAATGTATATCAGTAGTATGCTCTTTCAGTTTGTTCTTTGCATTTTGAAGATACTATCCCACTGAGTGTGGTTTCCATTGTTGCTGTTGATAAGTCTGGCCCTTTAATTTCTTTCCAGTATTTCTATTCTTTGTCCTCTGACTTACGGACTTCTCCTAAGGAAAAGAAGAGGAGAAAGAGAGGAAGAGAAAGAGAGAGCGACTTTAGTTTTATAGTTTCACTACAACTTATTTGTAGGGCATTGGTGTATCCTCTCTACTATACACTATGCTTTATTTCTGGGAAATTCTCAGTCATTTCTTTAAACATTGCTTTTCTCCATTCCTTTTATATTATTGTGCAAACCTCCAGTCAGGTTAGTGTTAGTTTATTTTATCACCATGCCTGGCATTTGCCCTGTTTTTAAATTCTCATTTACTTTCACAAAATTTACTTCCACTTCTGCTGAATTCCTTCAGAACTGTCTTCTGCCATTAATTCTTTACTCGCTTACTTAACTCAATCATTAATTTATGCAGTTCAACAGTCCTATTTTTCCACTTTCAGGATGTCATATCACTTTTTCCACCCTGCCTGGTTTTATTTCTCCCTCCTTCATTTATATCTCCGAACATGGTCTACATGGTTTCACGCTGGAAGAACAGCTCTCCTAACAGAGCACATGGCTTTAGACAAATGAAAGCATCTCTGTTCCTCTGTACTCTCATCCGCTAATGGAGATACTAATTGTATCTTCCTCATAGACACGTAAGTATTAAATGGGTGGGTGTATATATCGCAATGTCTCTGTCATGGCATAGAAACCAGCCTAGGTTTTTCAGTCAGAGAGGAAATTATTACATACAGGAAACTCAGTGACCGGAGCTACAGAAACACAAAAAGAGGGAGACGGTGTGCCATGAAAGTCAGGAAGTATGGAAAGCTGCTGCTGTGCACAGAGACTCCGCTGAGCCCCCTCTGCTCTGCTCCCCAGGGCCAATCTCTTGTCCATCAGCTGGCTGCTGTCCCTTCAGCAGGGCGTCCCTCGATCCCACACCTTCAACTCCTGACTGCTAGAAGGTCACTGTAAGAAGAGCCACTTAGCTGCCACTTCCACTACAGCTGTCATCCTGCTGGTGTGGTCAGAGGCCCAGCCAGGAGCAGAATAGCCACTGTCATCTAAGCAGGTACCAAGCAGAAGAGCACAGTGGGAAAGTGAGGACAGATGTGGAGCTTGGTCAGTATTAGACATGGTATGTAGAGTGTCTATATAGTAGGAGAAGACAGACGCCTGCTATGGTGGCAGTTACAGTTCATAATAAAATAGATCCAGTAATTCACTAACAGCTGGAATCTTAAAATCTCCCAACTGCTGTGTGTTCTTTCCGCTGACTCTTATACAAGTCACCTAGAGTTTGTGGCTCTGGGTATTTGGTGACATTCAGTGATGATCTTAGGCACACCTGATTTCAATCTATGGGGATCATCTTCTCTAGACAAAGTGGGGGTCTTGCCTCCAGAAAGAATTTGTTTTGCTTTCTTGCTGGGAAGGCAGGCTAATGCCACCAGCCTGGAACTTCCTTGTACATGTTTTAAAGGTTTCACCCTGGCTCCTGCTCAGTGGGCTCACTGCCTCATACCACTGTCCCATAGCTCAAGGTCACGATCAATCGCAATGCTGATGCATTTTCTCTCACGTAAGAGGCCTGCCTCAAGAATGTGTCTGCCTACAAGCTATAACTACTCCACCCAATGCTTTGAGAGAGCATTAAGGCAATAGATGCAAAAATAAGCTCAGAGATTTCCTTTCCCTTCTGGGTGTCCAGAAAAATACTTCAAAAATCTAGTTTATCTTAGATCAATTTGTTTTGAGTCTAAAGGACCCTGCAGAGTCTATTTCTGTCAAAATCTGGAATATGTATTTTATTCCATAGAAGGTGGGAGAACCATTAATTAACTAGAAGTGATGGGAACCAATCTAGGTCTCCATATGAAAACAGGAAGTAAAACAATCTGGTTTTTAATGTCCCACTTATTTTAATATTACAGTTGGAACCTCTGCAAAGGTATATCAATGGTAATTACATATTCAGATCTAGTAGGAGATCTAAATTTCAGGTAGTTATCCTTACAGATATCACATACAAATTTGACAGAACTCAAATTCTAACTTGAACTTAACCAAGTATTATCATTGTAACTGTGGCCTTCATCATAACTCTAATGCATTTGCAGTTTAGTTTAATGATCTATGAATGTGAATGTCATTGACAAGATCCCAAGAAGTCAGGTTCCTGGCAGTGTAACTGAAACAAGGAACACCTGGACCAGCAACACTGTGGTCAAGTGTTCAAACCATGGTGGCTTTATCAAAGGAACAGTCCCAATTGTAGCCAGAAAAACTCTAAGAGTAGCCTAGAGGCCATCTGAAGTCTCTCTGAGACTCTGATTCCATGAGTTATGTTCCATGGGCATGCTCCAAATTTCTCCTTGTTTTGGAAAAGCAAGCCCTATGAAGAATAACTTCTAAATACAATGATAAAAATAACTGAAGCAGGTAAAAAGAACTTAGGCCTGGTGCTTGTAGAGTCTCTTAGCAGCCAAATGAAGTGATGTTTTCAAATACAAAGAGTAAAGGTTGGAAGGAAAAAAGCATTGAAAGTTGTAACCCCACCCAACTGTATGGATTACAAGTTTCCTGGTTGTGCTTCTGCACATGTTTGACTAGACAGGTAGCATGGTGAAGATAATGGGTGAGATGGTGCTTGGAAGGGAGGAGGGTGGAGCACCCATGAGGGGCAGCTGAAATGAGCTGAGAAGAAAGACAAGGTCCATTTCAGGGGTCAGTCCAAAACCACACTGGTAATAGAGTGGTGGTGATGAGAGGGAAGGGAGGGGACCAGCACTTGGCTTTTCCCTTGAGCAACGGGGTAATTAGAGCACCATTTAGTCAGAACCAGGAACCCAGGAGAGGGACAGGCTAGGCAGGAATATCAAGAGTTCTATTTGGAACATATTGACTTGAAGATATTTGAGGAAGAGCCAGATGATTGTGTAAGGTGTGCTGCTGTGAATATCTGTATGCTGTGAATGTGTTGCTCTGATTGGTTAATAAATAAAGTGCTGATTGGCCAATAGCCAGGCAGGAAGTATAGGCGGGACAAAGAGAGAGGAGAATTCTGGGAACAGGAGGGCTGAGTCAGGAGACGCTGCCAGCCACCACCGCTGCCATGAGAAGCAAGATGTGAAGGCAGAACTGGGAAAAGGTACCAAGTCACGTGGCTAAACATAAATAAAAATTATGGGTTAATTCAAGTGTAAGAGC